TTAAGTTAAAGAAGTAGCAAAGCAAATGACTTGAAATCTCTCAGGTCGAATAAACCTTAAGAACCAGAGTGTGATGAAATGCTTTCAACTGCTGTAACAAGCTTTTAAAACATCTGTGTGAGGTGTTTCAAGGACTTAAGATGCGATCTGCCCTTAACCCATATACTCTGATTTCATTTCTCTGTATTTTACTCTTTTTCATGAGCAGAATAACAGAATGTCCCTGTTTTGAGACCAGAGGGGCTGCAACTGCTCCAACACTCAACACACAGATGATGCCTTTACCTAACAGATGCATTCATTACATCCACATCATTTCTCATATGAAGCCACACTTCACACTGAACCACCTCACCCCTCAGTGTAGCAGTGACATTACGACAAACGTGTCAAAAGTATCTTAAGATCACTGACTCCGTTTGAAACCAGACAGTTTCTTTGCACAAGCAGCATCCTTGACATGATATTTTAACAGCCAGACGTGATCATCTTTTTAGCAGGTGACAAAATGAAGGTTGTGAAAATCTCCAGCCTCATTAAAGGGTTTGGCATGTTTGAAAAGATTCTGTGAAAAGATCCAGCGGGACGTCAATCAGTAGAGCAGCAGTAATGAAAAAGACTCATTAGTGGCACGAGTATGGAATTATTTTTGTGCCAATAAAAAATTAACGTAACTTTTCAAGAAACTAATGAAAATATCCGTTGAAACTGAATAAAATGTCTTTGAAAGTGAAAAATAAATAAATAAATCACTAGCAAAATCTTTGACTTCGTTTTTAACCTGTTAACCCTGGACGTTAACCTGGACGCCGGCGCACTGAATGCTCTTTGTTTGCACGTGTCAATGTTTACGAATAGATTAAATGAAAAGGGACATAATTAATCTTGACAAACTATATATCATTCTAAAGGTCTAAGCCTCAAGCATCGACGATAGATCGCTGTTTTTCAATGGAAAGCTTATAAAGAATGTATTTGCTAAATTTGTGTAAGCAGTACACATCAAAACGTGCATAATAAAAACGCAGTTCGTACCAGATTCATCGTAATAACAAGTCATAAACGCATCCACAGCTGTAAATTCCGGTTTAGTTAAAAAGGTAAGGGTCCACTGAACAACATCCCATAGAGCACTTTTAGTCCAACGAAACAATAACGTTGTAATATGAATGGTAATTCCTTTGTTTACGTCTCATTTCTTCGGGGACAGTTGTTGTTTGTATCCGTTATGGAATAACTTGCGCTCAAAAAACTGCATTTTGGTAGTAAAAATCAACATGGTTTTGTAGCATACCGTGTCACAAACAGAATGAGACCATTCACAAAAAAAAAAGTCAAAGATACACGGAATATTGTTTATTTGAATTCTGACGCTCTCTCGTGACGGCTCATGATGCACGCTGTGACGCACCTGTCATCTGTTGGGGGCGCAACTTAGCGATCGGCTTTTTGCACAAATAATTCTTTTTTTTCTTCTTCTTCTTCAACATTTTTCATATATGTGTGTGTGTTTTGTGGGGAATGTGGCTGTATCTGCATGATTACCATCTGTATGACCGCACATCAGCGTGTGACTGTATGGCCGGCCATCTGTATAATTAACATCTGTATGACCAGCCATCAGCATGTGATTACTGACTGTATGACAGCTATCAGTGTTAATGCTGTATGTCTAGCAATCACAGTATGTACTTGGCATACATAGTTAATTTTTCTTTTCTTATTTCTTTTTATTACTCAAAATGTATTCTTATTGTATTTTTTATAGTCTCAGAAAAATGGTTGCAGGAATCTCATTTTTCATGGTATCTTCTTCAGATTTGAAATATAAACACATGAGACATGTAACTTTCAACCCATTACTTTTCTGGATTGCTCCAGGACTGATTTTACGTATTAAATAATAAAAAATAAAAAGGCACTTTTTCAAGGCACTTCAGTGTCTATAACGTTTTATCTTTTTGAGCATTATCAACTCTGGATGATGGATAGTAAAGCCCAAAGGGTCTTCTTTCCAAAGACTTCAAAATTGTGTGTGTAGCACACTGAAGTCAGAAACTGTTACAATTTTAACCCTCTGGGGTCCAAGGGTGTTTTGGGGCCTTGGAGAAGTTTTGACATGCCTTGAAATTTGTGCTTTTTTCAGTTGCTTATAAACATTTTAATGGCTACAGTTTAATAGCACTATAATCAGCACAAACTGGGCTACAATAATATTGTCACGGTGCACACACACGAGGAACGAGGAGACACTGGAGAATACTTTAACAGGACTTTATTTGCATGAACCAAGGGAGACGAACTCAGGAAGACGTTTAACAGCGGACAGAGAACTAGGGACTGGGAACACTTTAAATCATGCATAATACTGTGATTCACACCTGAGAAGACAAAGGCCTGCATAATGAGATGAGCTGCATAATGAGCTGTCAGGTGTGTGACTGAGAGGGAATTGCTACAAGAAAGAATGTGAGGAAAAAGAAATGTATATATTTTTTGTTCGTAGTTTATTTAGAATATATATAACGATCACATAAAATAACTCGAGATTAACTTGCAAGTGCAGTTAAGTTAGGTAGGTCATTTTCAGCTGTGAGTCCCAAAAGGGAGGTGCAGGTTAACAGGTTAATACACTGCATGTTTTGCTAAATGATTTCTCCTCTTTCTTTCCCTGATCTATACTTACAAATGTGCTTCCAGAGTTTACATTCACACTTCTGAAGTTTTCATTCGTGCTTCTGAAGTTTTCGTTTATGCTTCTGAAGTTTTCATTTGCCATTCTGGCACAATTCCCTCGTGGGGGTGGGGCTAGTAGTGGCGTGTTCTCATTGGCTACTGAGTTTTTGATTGACAGCTTCTTGACCTGGAAGTGAAGGCGTCAGCCTTGCGTCTGTGTGGATGTGAGTGTCTGTTAGCGGCTTCCTATTTCACTTTAGTGATATAAATGGATGTGGATGTGGACTGTTGGTCACATGATATAAAACCGTATATAAACAAGTTATCACATATCCTGCACAGAATACCAGCAGTATGAAGCATAAGGCCAGAGACTATTGAGCCAGTATGTCATAAGATAACCCTTGTGAAAATGAAGTACACTTTAGCATAGTTTCAAATAACATATTGCAAACTAAACATAATGTTTTTATACACTCAAATGCATGTTCTTTACAATTAAATGAAAATGTATTTTAATTTAAATTATAAATGTAATTTAAATTATAAGTGGGACATAAGTGAATCTTTATATTAAATTTCATGATTTTTTTTTATGCCTTTGAAATACGGTTAAAGTGCACTGCCGAATGTACGGACAAGCATTCATGGTAAATTGAAATATACGTCAATGTCAATTCTATTGAAATTTGGGTTACACTTATTTTAAGGTGTCCTTGTTCCAGTGTAATTATACATTTAAGTAATGAGTAATATTAATTAACTACATGTACTTACTATATGGTTAGGGTTAGGACTAGGGTCTGGCTTAGGGTTACTTGCATGCAATTATGCATAATTAATTGTTATTATAATAGTAAGTACATGTAACATGTGTAACAAGGACACCTTCAAATAAAGTGTTACCAAAATTTGTATGTCACGTATTTACATTGTTCAGTTGTACATTTGTAATGATGAAGTTGCAATTTAGCACATTTAAAATGTATTAACTTTAAAAGTCATATCAAATACACTGCAACTAAAATTATAATAACTTTTATATTTACTTATAATAATGTAAGTACTTTCATGTGCTTTAATATGTAGTATGTATCTAAATAAGTATACATCTTTAAACCGTGAAAAAAAAAAGATTATTAAAACAGTGATTTAAAATGTACTTTAAAGTAACACTTTTAATTTGACATTATTACAAAGTGTACTTTTTAAAATACATACTTACATAATATATATTATCTTCAAGTACAGGGTTTTTTACAAATACTTTTAAGATTTGAAGCACACTACAAGTGCACATGCATAAGCACATTTCTTTTTCACAAGGGAACATATACTAGCATTACCAAGAGTGCTACATTTTCCTCACTACCACTAAATATTTAAGATTTATTTACAGATTTAGTTTGCTTTAAAGTCCTAAAAAAAAAAAAAAACCTGCTGGAAAATCCAGCTTAAGCTGACCGCTGTGTTTTGGAACATGCTAGATGGTCATTAGCGGCTGCAAACTAGCAGACTGACTGCCATGTTCCAAAACACAGTTAACGGCTTATGCTGGATTTACCAAGAGGTGAAAATGAGAATGAAAGTAATTCAGAAAATAAATAATTTAAATGTTGTGTGTGGTGGTCGGTCTTAACCCAATTAGCAAACAGAGCAAATGCTTCCTAGAGAGCGTTTAAGAGAGTAATGAATATTACATGCACACTCAAATACACACTTACATGCAAATGCACAAACACACATTTATAGAAGAAGTGAGCAGGCGGGGCAGGAGAGTGACAGACAGACAGAAGCCCAGAGAGATTGATGGCTATATTCAAATGAATACAGAGAACTGACAGGAACCAAATGGAGCGAAACACTGGCACAGAGAGAGGCTGATGTGAACCAGTCCGGCACAAGCACACTCACACTCACACTTAAAGCTACATACAGTGGCACACACATCAATACAGCAACAAATACTTTAAACCGCATAAACACATTTCATTACACCAAATACACAAAATAATGTTCTTTTTAGCAGCATCATATGACCCCTTTAACACAACACACGTGGTGTGTGCTCTAATTCCCTAGACAAAGCACAACCACAAACGGCTTAAAATGCTTTTAGGATCAATAAACGCAAGAACTGAGTTGCTACTGACACTCCTTCACCTCTACACGAGCACGAAACAAGAAGTCACACAGAACCAGCTGGCAGTACAAATGGAACAATGAAAAATCACCCTGTTTCCCATGAGAAGAACAGTCATTGCCCGTGTCAAAATGCATCACTGAAGCCAGACAAAGCAGAGACATTTCACCGCCCATCTTACCTAATTTAGGGAGGGAATATTTGACTTTGAAGTAATCCTGGTAAAACTGCAGGAGTCTCTTGGTGATGTGCAGAGCGTAGTCCCCCGATCCGCTCTGGATGGCGTCAGGTCTGGCGTACAGCCGAATCTACAACAACGCAACATAAGAAGAGAGAGAATAAAAGTCAAACTGTGTCAGGAGCTGAATGAACTCTTGGAAGTATACGACTCTGGGTTTATTCCTAACCTGAATTCCCTCAAGGACAACGGTTATGGACTTGAAAGATTAAGTTCCAAGAGTAATCCATGGTGGATATATCTGCCAAATGCCTTCATCTGGCTTGTGAATTTTGCATCTGTCTTTCAAGTGTACTTTTCTCCACCCCTCATCCACTGTACGAGGCATTAAGAAGTATTACTGTCACCTACTCCAAAAGTAAAAATCATTTCATTATCTTCACAGACTACAGGAAGATGAGCTTTAGTATTCAGTGGCTCTAATTACAGAATTTCCAATGAAAAACTATACTACCCACAATACCCTGAAGAGATATCCAACAATCAGAGAAGTCACTTTTGCATGGAAAATTACTAGCATATTGGCTGTTATAGATTATCAGTACTATTAAGCACATATTAATGCCATATTCTGCATGACCATATTTTAGATCCCTTAATTCTACCCCATACCTAAACTTAACAACTACCTTACTAGTAATAAGCAGCAAATTAGGAATTTATTGAGACAAAAGTCATAGTTAATAGTTAGTTAATAGTGAAAACTGGACCTTAAAATAAAGTGTGACAAATTGTTTTTATATTTATAATGAACATTTTGTACCATTGTTTTGATTTGATTGATGCTTCATGGGATTAAGAGTCCACTCACTCATAAAAGACGTAGACAGTTTTAATACCTGTTTTGTTCAAATCAAAGTTTGTAATTTTTTGATTCACCTCAGAGCTGGTTGGTTTGATACATGACTCATTCAAAATCCTTATAGATTGGTGAAAAAAACATATACTTCCAGAACCATGGCCACTGAAAGAACAGGCAGCCATTTCTACTGGAGTTATGGCACTTTAAATGAATTGACTGCACTTTCATAAACCATAATGTTATTGGACTGTAGCTGCTGAAAACCTCCTCCATATATTTGTTTAAAATTGGATTATTTCCATCAATTGTAAATCAGGACATGTGTCCTTGGAAATAAATTAGATTTCGATGAAAAAGCAAAGACAAAGCATTTGCATTATTGCAAGATTCTTTATTCTGTGTGTGAGAAGGAGAAAGAGAGATAGGGGAGAGAACAAGTGTGAAAGAGAAAGTGTGTGAGGTGTGGCTCTGTGGGAAATGTATTCCCAGAGTAAAAATGATCTTGGACTCTTTTAGCCGAAGGCTGATGCACGGCACGGCTTTCTGAACGGGCATCCATCTAGTCAGAATGAATGTCCTCCTACACTAACAGAGTTACAGTGCAAAACAAGCAGCAGGAAAGGCTTTGTTTCAGAGCCTGGCAGCAATACACATTGAATTATGTGTTGTTTACCTCACATGTTGCTGCCATATCGATCAGCTCTATGTCTGATATAAAGATGAATGGGCGGCACTTAGGGCTGTGGAAATGATTCAAAGCTCAATCAAATCAATGTGATTTTAAAACAACCTGTAATTAGACAAAGCACTCGAGTTGACAATCAAGAGACGCTTCATTAATCAGCCGGTGTGAAGATTGTTATATCCGACTCCAGTGTTGACTGCTTCGTTTGTTTGGTTTTGTTGAAGGCAGCTTGACTGAGACTTAAATGGGGTTAATTGAACTTTAATAGAGAGTCTCTCCATGAGTCGCTGCTCGACATTGATCCGCTAACAAGCTCTTTCTGATGAAAAGATGAAGCTTAAGTCAACACATTCAGCACTTGACTTGATATTAACAACCTGTTGAATTATTATTCTACATACGTCTGAATGTGAGGGATACTTCAGGCGCTTTACATTTCTCTAAATGTCCAGAGTAAACTGTGCTATAACAATTATACATTATGTGAAATTGTTCTTCTAGTTTTACATAATTTTATTCCTAGCTAGTCTAGCTAGTCACCAGCTTGTGCTGTGTAGACCAGTTTGACTGGTTTAACAGCTTAATCAGAACCAAACCTGCATAAATCAGCCTGGATCAGGCTGGTATTTTCCATTTGAAACCTACATAGACATTTCAAGGCATTTGTTTCCTAGAGCTAAAATCACAATTTTGTCCATTAAATGCACTAAACATACTTTTTGATCAGGCTGAGTAATTTCATGAATATGTAAAGAGCAAATTTAGTATAGTGGTGTTGAATTTTGATTAGATATTACAAGAACATTTTAATGAAAAATAAATAAAACTGACTGACACTAAACCAGTAGATTTAATAATGGCTGCTACAGTGTTATGAATGAAATATGCTCTTTTAAATTAATTAATTAATTAATTAATTAATTAATTACTTTCTCTTATTTTAGCACTTTAAATAATATAAGACACTAAGTAAAATTTACACCTGGTCAAAAAGGGAAACTCTGTTCAGTGTGTGTGTGTGTGTGTGTCAGGAATCATGACTCTAAAGGGCCTGAGGGTCCAATTTTAATATGTGACGCTCTAGAGAGAGTCCAGTGGTCAATATAGGTGAAACAGAGGTCACGTTCACCAAAACAGTTATGTGTGATGATGAAGACTCAGCATTATTCACACACAGCAGCAGGTTTACTAAACCCTGTATGCTGGTAAAGAGAAATGATCCATGATGAAACAAACAATCTAAGCTCAGACTTCAAATCATTTTGTAGAGCGAGCCACAGACGGCACAATCATTTACTGTCTGGTTCTGGAAATAAATGTTTATCTTGGTTAGACATCATTACAAGAGATTGCAGAACATACAAGGATTGTATCTGAAATGGTTTGGTCATAACTGGACATAAAGTGAGGTATGGAACATAACAGTTAAATTGAATTAATTCAAAATTGTTATACTAGTCTTAATGGAGCATTCAAGTTACAATCTGATTTTATAGCAGAACAACCAAAAAAGAAACAATTAACAGTTATGTTCATGTAAAATTAGGAGTAGATTTTGTGAGGGGTTAAGACTGTAGCCAAACGAAGCACCTCTAAACTAATGAGCTGAACCACTTAAATTCCCATCAAACTGAATGAGCTGCTCAACACCCAAACAGAACCAATAAACAAACAGAACTAATTTACAAACAGAATGAATAAACAAATATACCAAAACACCCAAGCATACAGAAATATCAAAGAGAACCTTTCTACTAAGGAAACTAATGAAATAATTTAACATACAGAACTAATAAACAAACCCAATAAACAATACTCAAGTGAAAAGAGAGAGAGAGAAAAGAAAGTATTCTCTAACAAAACAAATACAATACTAAACAGAATCAATAAATAAACAGAGCATCCAAACAGAACCAAATAACAAACATGCCAAACACCCAAGCAGAGCCAAAAGCAAACAAACAAACAAACCCCTTTAAACTAACAGAACAAAAACAAAACCGTTAAACAAACAGAACCAAGATCTAAAGAGAGCCAACATCCGAACAGAACCAAATAACATACCAAAAATTCAAGCAGGGCCAAAAAAAAAACAGAACATTTAAACAAACAAAAAAGATCAAAACAAAGCCAATATCAAACAAAACCCATATCTAAACAGAACAAAAACCCAAATGCAACCATTAAACAAACAAAACCAACAACCAAACAACCACATTGGCAAAATGCAAAAACAAATTAATAAACTTAAAAGATAAAAGGAGAATCAGTAAGCAAACAGAAACAATAAACAAACAAAACAAGCGAAATACGGTTCTATCCACCAGGAATTAATGGAAAAAATGGATGGAACCACATTAGGCTATAAAATGACTGGATACTTTTATTTTTCTCCACCCATGCAAATTTGTTTACATTACAAGAAAAGCAATTTCAGAGCCAGACAGAATTATTACAGGATGAAAGATTATGACAACAAACCTTTTTTCTTCAGGAAACATACACTAATGAATCCTGCACAATTGTGTACATGTATAGTGAATTGTATTATTAATAGTATTTCATTTCCCCTTCAGGAACTCGAGCTGCGTCGAAGTCGCTTTGGGAACACCCCTGCGTGACCGCGTTCTGAAGCACGTGTCAAATCAGTCCAATGGAGTAGCGAGACGTCACGAGCGGGGTGGCGTAAGCACCAGAAAGTATAAAAGCGCATCCGGCAGAGCACAAACCAGCTTCTGCTCTTCAGTAGCACTCTGTGTATGTGTCTGTCTATTTACTGTTGTCTGTCCGCACAAGCATATATAAAAAACAATCATGAAAAAGTCTATGGCGAGCGAACGGCATTACAAACGCTGTGTTCCTCCCTGCCCACGATATCTGGCGGCGGGGGATACACACGATTTGTGTGTCGTTTGTTTAGGAGC